AGGTGGGCGACAATGGCATTCACTTGTGCCATCTCCACAGACTCGGATGCCAACATGGCCCAACCGGTGGCGCGGCAGGCCATCACATCGCTATGATCCCCGAAGATGGACAAGGCCTGTCCCGCCAGAGCCCGTGCCGCGACGTGCATGACGCACGGGAGCAACTCGCCCGCGATCTTGTACATGTTCGGGATCATCAGCAGCAGACCCTGACCTAAGTTGACATGCACAGCTTTGCTCGAGAACCTGCGGACCAGCACAGGAAAACGAAGCCAGAACCGCCAGCGATAGAACATCCTCCAAAGTTTGCAATACAAGCTCGGGCCGGGAGGCTGGCAGTGAAGGTAGTGCTGAAGGCGCCAGCTTTCAGTGCTCCGTGCAGAGCACCGGCTGCGCCAGCTTCGCTCTGCATCTCCGTCACACTGAGCTTCTGTCCATAGCAGTTGATGAGGCCTGACACAGAAGCAAAGCTTAGCTGCTTTTCACGGTATCGCAGAAGCTTTGAGATACAAGCCTTGCGCGGCCCATTCGTCCACCATCTCTCCCATCGGAGAGCTCGGCGTGATGGGATAAATGAAGGCGCAGTCACTGAGGGCGTAGGCAACGTGAGCTGCGGCCTGGTTCCCATCGATGCATGCAATGGACCCTGTTGTAGCCTCGATGATGTCCGTGTCGGCACACTGGTGCACTATGGTCTTGTTCCTTGGCTGAGTTTTTTTTTTTTTGTGGGGTTCCTTGGCTGAGTGTGTGAAAAGGAAAAGGTTCTGCACGATGCCAAGTCGTAACCGACCAACAGCCGCATGTTCACGCATCGAGTACCCTAGCCCAAAAAAGGTTAACCTTTCGAATTATGGCAGGATTGTATAAGCCCCAAAAGCTTAAAGGTTACCTACTCAGCCTCTAAGGTTCTCTTGCTGGAACATAACCCGCTGCACTTCCTTGGCCTTCATAAACTGCTCGTACTCGATGTCTGCTGCACCAGACCCTGCCCCAAGGGGCTCCAACCGCTCTGGGGTCTCCTCTTGACGTTCCTGGCCCCGCATCAGGAACTGGAGGCAAAGACCACCATAGGGACCGAAGGGGCTTGTCCTCGGCAGACAAATCCCGCATGCAGGAAGCATCACACTGGTCCCTGAATCTATAAGGTGCATAAGCCCCCCGCTGTCCGCGGAGAGCCATCACTGGAAAAAACCCAGAGCGCCGGCACCTGTGGACGCTTCAGACGAAGTCGCTTGAGCCTCGAAGCTAACGTGCCAGCCACTGCTCGTGCGGCCAGACAGATGCAGACAGAAATCACTTGCAAGAAGGGGCCTGAGAACCAAGCTGTACCTTTGTACTCCTGGCGAGCACTCACCACAGCTTGGCGAGAGCTCCTCCGCGCTCTTGGCGAGGTCAGCAGTTCAAACTGGCACTCATCCGGATGCGGTGAGCGGCAGCTTGTGACAGCTTGCAGCAGTGCCCGTGAGATGATCAGCTCTTGTCCAAAAGAAAAATCTTATGGAGCTGCTTTATCAAGCGTGTACGAGCCATGTGCCACTGCCGCAAGACAGAACATTATCAAAGAGAATGCCGGCGCAAATTGTCCATGCAGCCCGCGACTGGACCCCTGCGAGCCAATGTTTCCTCGCTTGGTGTCCGGAAATTTAAGAAACTTTTGGAAACAATGTCGGTGCATCACGCACCTGAGACTCTGCTCACGACCAAGCTTCCACCGTGTAACCTCGGGATGCAAAAGATCGTAGGCATGTCTGCTCTCGGTGTCTCGATTCTTCTGCTTCGTGACTTGCGTGCCCGGTGCTAGCATTTGGGGCCCGGTAACATTAGATTCGATTGAATGGCATGTTACAGGCATGTTTTTCGAGGAGGCTTCCTTCCACATCGCATGCCGAGCAACGGCCTTCCATCTTCAAATTTGAGAGGATCGCCTCCGCCTCCTCTTCAGGACATCGCTCGTGTGCCATCATTACCTGGCGAACAAGACAACGAGCATGTTTCTGCAGCGCTTCCTCGCCATCACAGAAGCGATGCTGCCAAGAAACCTCCTTCATGGCAGTATAGATGTCTTCGGGCACTTGCCGTGCAGATCCACAGACATAGAAGTGGCCGCCCTGATTCAACATCCTCTCCGCAACGTCGGCTCCCGCCTCTCATGATTGCGCATGCTGCTGCCTGTGAACTCAGACGAGAAACCAGAGCAGGAAGGGACCAGACTGTTGCAAACGGACACGCAACTTCTACGAAGGGAAAGTCAATTTCAATTCAGGACTGGAAGGCTCCATCTCC